GCCCCATTGTACCCTATATATATATATATATATATATATATATATATATATATATACATAAAGCCCCTCTTTTTTTGAACACAGACATGAAAATGCACTATCCGAACTTACATTGTTTTAATTCATGAATGCTTTGGAGGTTCATTGAAGGTTGGTCTCTTTTTAAAGCGGACATCGAATGCCCATTTTTCACAAGATGGTATGATTCTTTAGGGTGTTTATAAAATGTCTGCAACATACTTTGGTTAAAATTCTTCAATGGTCATCTAAAACAACACCTTTTTTACATAGTCAAAAACAGCTATGTTCGTAGCGACCCATTTCAGTGCACGTCTCTTTAAATGGTAATGAGCTACTGCTTACACCACCCTTCTCTTCTGTTTTTTGTGTATTCAGTGGCACATTAGAATCAAAATTAAAACTAATCCACTGCTACCTCAGTTGTTCTCATGTCAGGAGAAAATGGCTCTTATGTTCACTTTACATCCAACTACAAAACATGTACATTGCTTACGAGACATTGTTGTCGCTACAGCTGCTCGAGCACAGAGAAAATGGCTGACAGCATACAACTAGCTGAGGGCAGAAATATGCTAATACGGGACTGTCCGTCAGCAGTCGTTGGCAGGGTCAAAATCAAAATGGCTTGATATTTGAGACCGTTTCGGTTTTTTGGGATTAAAAAATTATGTGAATGGATTTTTAGCATTGTAGGGTGGTTGTGTTCACACACATTTATATGCAAACACCATGTAAAAGTGAATTTTGCATCTGATGTCCCCTTTAAAGAAGACACTCAGCAGATGATTGATAAAGTGAAATCATTAAAAAAAAAAAATAAAAAAAAAGTATGAGAAATGTATAGAAGTTTAGGTTTACTGTAATGTACTGTACCAAAATAAAAATTTATTGTACTGTAGAAAGTGTTAATATTACATAAAATATTTTAGAAAAGATTTTTCAAAAATTGCTATAAAATTAAAGCTGTATGTCTAAAGTTAGTTTCCAAATTTGAAGTCGATATAAAAAAAGTAGGTTCCTGTATGATTCTATTTAGGGTGTTATACCAAAAATAGCCACCGTGTAACACCCAAACTCCATTGAAATTTTTAGATGCATATTCCTGTCACAAAAGTAATATTAAAAAAGAAATGTATCACAAAATAACTAAAAACTATGAAATCTAGGGAGTGAGACCTTTCCAATTTTGTCAAGATTATAAAAAGTTTTGATTATAAAATATAATAATATATTTTGTAATATGACACTTGACACCACCCACTAAGGGGGAGGAGACCGCTAAAATATATTTAAGTAATGCGATATCTAATTTAAAAATGAATTTCACAGGATGAATTGTGTTTTTTAGCTTTTAAAATGATAATTAATGATGATTACTATAATATGTAATGGGGGAAAAGCCATGCATCCCACCGGTGGGACGGTGACAGATTAACATCACATTTAGTTGTCATTGTTATTTATACAATTAAACAGTTACAAACACATATACATTTTTTATAAGAAACTTCCTGAAGTATATAAATCATAGGAGTACACAGCCAAATAAATAAGTCAGTCACACCCATGCATTCACAAATATATGTGTGTGTGTGGGGGGTGGGGGGTGGAGAAAGGGTTCCAACATGGTGGTGCGTTGATCAGACTATACATGCTCCTACAGCATTCGTCAATTTCTTTCTTAAACAGCCTTAAACTGAACAAATACATATAAATAATTGTAAACAACATCATGACAAAATGACATCGCGTACAACAAAGAAAAAACACGGAAATCAAGATGACGCCAATGCTGAGTCTGCTAATCACCAAACTAGCATGACACAAGAGGCGAAAGAATCCAGCGCAAATACCGACAAAAATCAAGAGAGCAACATTATGAGTGCAATTGCAAGTATGAGAGAAGACATTTCAGTCAAATTTACAGGAATTCTTTCAGCCATACAGGAGGTTAAACAAGAAGTCAAGGAATTTTCAAACAGACTGTCTACAGCGGAACAACGTTATCAGGTGTCCGTACTGCAAAATACTGTAGACAATCTTCAGCAACAGGTGAAACTTCTGGAACTTAAATTGGAAGATCAGGTAAATCAAAGTCATCGCAATAATGTGCTTCTTGTCGGGTCTCCCTGAGGGTACGGATGGCAAAGATACGGTGGGATTCCTCGAGAGATGGGTACCTGAGGTATTGGGACAGGAGTCTTTTACCAACCCGATAGCTATCGAAAGAGCTAAAAAAAAAATACGCTAAAAATTTAACTAAATCCGCCAGCAGGTGGCGGCAAGTCACTAATTTTATCACTGAATCATTCATTCAATTGATTCGTTCGTTCAAACGGCTGAATCATTCAGGAATGAAGCAAGTAACTGTCTTTATGAACTGACATTTTATCACTGAATCATTCATTCAATTGATTCGTTCAAACGGCTGAATCATTCAGGAATGAAGCAAGTAACTGTCTTTATGAACTGATGGAAATCCGTCGTAGCGATGGAGCAACGCCAATACAAAGGTGTTGGAAAGGTCAAATTTATTCAGCTTTATTTTCTCCTAACTCTAGGGGGTTTATGATTTTAATGCACAAGTCAATTTCATTTCAAGTATCTAAGGTTTTACAGGACACAGCAGGACGTTACATAATAATTCAAGGTTCTATTCTGAGTGAAAACATTATTTTGGCAAATGTGTACGGACCTAATACATATTGTCCAAGTTTTTTTCTTTTTTTTTTTCTTTTACTGTCTTCTTTACCAGGAAAATTGCTAATTGCTGGAGACTTTAACTACACATTATCTCCTAGCCTTGATCGCTCAACAGGTTTAGACACAACACACATACAGTCTAGGAAAAAGATATGGGACTACATAAAAGAACTTTGAAAATAATTTGTGTGACCCATGGCAAAGGTTATACTACACTAACAACGAGGCTATCGGCGCCAACAAAATTTTTAATGTTCCTTAAAGTTTCTTATGCTCACCACATAGAGAATGTTAAAGGGTTAGTTCACCCAAAAATTAAAATTAGGCTGCGTACTCACTTTACTCACCCCTGAGGCATCCTAGGTGTATATGACTTTCTTGTTTCAGACAAATCCAGTCGGAGTTATATAAAAAATTGTCTTTGATCTTTCAAGCTCTATCATTTCAGTCAGCGGGTGTTGCACTGCTTCAGTCCAAAAGACCTGAAATAAAAAGTGCCCTTCCATAAAAAAAAGTGTCTCTCACGGCTCCGGGGGGTGAACAAAGGCCTTCTGTAGCGATTTGATGCGTTTTTGTAAGAAAAATATCCATATTCAAAACTTAATAATCACTTTAATGTAGCTTGCGCTCACTGTTGTAAACAGAAGCAGTTCCGGGGAATGACGTATGAGGTCGGCTTTGCCCGACAAACAAAGCTTTTTATATTCAAAACGTAATAATCACTTGAATCTAGCTTGCGCTCACTGTTGTAAACAGAAGCAGTTCCGGGGAATGACGTATGAGGTCGGCTTTGCCCGACAAACAAAGCTTTTTTTCTCTCTCATGTGCTTCTTGTCGGGTCTCCCTGAGGGTACGGATGGCAAAGATACGGTGGGATTCCTCGAGAGATGGGTACCTGAGGTATTGGGACAGGAGTCTTTTACCAACCCGATAGCTATCGAAAGAGCTAAAAAAAAAATACGCTAAAAATTTAACTAAATCCGCCAGCAGGTGGCGGCAAGTCACTAATTTTATCACTGAATCATTCATTCAATTGATTCGTTCGTTCAAACGGCTGAATCATTCAGGAATGAAGCAAGTAACTGTCTTTATGAACTGACGGAAATCCGTCGTAGCGATGGAGCAACGCCAATACAAAGGTGTTGGAAAGGTCAAATTTATTCAGCTTTATTTTCTCCTAACTCTAGGGGGTTTATGATTTTAATGCACAAGTCAATTTCATTTCAAGTATCTAAGGTTTTACAGGACACAGCAGGACGTTACATAATAATTCAAGGTTCTATTCTGAGTGAAAACATTATTTTGGCAAATGTGTACGGACCTAATACATATTGTCCAAGTTTTTTTCTTTTTTTTTTTCTTTTACTGTCTTCTTTACCAGGAAAATTGCTAATTGCTGGAGACTTTAACTACACATTATCTCCTAGCCTTGATCGCTCAACAGGTTTAGACACAACACACATACAGTCTAGGAAAAAGATATGGGACTACATAAAAGAACTTTGAAAATAATTTGTGTGACCCATGGCAAAGGTTATACTACACTAACAACGAGGCTATCGGCGCCAACAAAATTTTTAATGTTCCTTAAAGTTTCTTATGCTCACCACATAGAGAATGTTAAAGGGTTAGTTCACCCAAAAATTAAAATTAGGCTGCGTACTCACTTTACTCACCCCTGAGGCATCCTAGGTGTATATGACTTTCTTGTTTCAGACAAATCCAGTCGGAGTTATATAAAAAATTGTCTTTGATCTTTCAAGCTCTATCATTTCAGTCAGCGGGTGTTGCACTGCTTCAGTCCAAAAGACCTGAAATAAAAAGTGCCCTTCCATAAAAAAAAGTGTCTCTCACGGCTCCGGGGGGTGAACAAAGGCCTTCTGTAGCGATTTGATGCGTTTTTGTAAGAAAAATATCCATATTCAAAACTTAATAATCACTTTAATGTAGCTTGCGCTCACTGTTGTAAACAGTAGCAGTTCCGGGGAATGACGTATGAGGTCGGCTTTGCCCGACAAACAAAGCTTTTTTTCTCTCTCAGGGCTTTATCTTTATATGCGGAAATAGTAGTTTAAACAACAGACCACGAGGATTCACACACCGTCGCATCAAGCGCATCTGTGAATGTAGAAAAACAGAAATTAAGTAGGCTATATAAAAGGAATAAAATAAACAGGATTACGCAAAACATATTTCTCTTAAAATAATTAACAGATTAACAAAAGAAAAAAACTGTACAAGTATATGCTACGCTCATATCTGTGACACTTTCAATGCATTTTATTTGTTTTCTTTTGTATATCTTTATTTTATTAAATCCAACTGATCCCAGTGCTGTTTAGTTTCGCTTTAAATAAACTCATTTTAGCTTGACGTTTGTATGCTGTTTATAATGAAAGCCACTATAACCTAATTTGTTTTATTTTATAATTTAACATATCATTTTATAGCTACTTCTTTTTCATTCTGGTTCTGTAATAACATTAGCCTAAATTTAAAGGATTTGTTGTGGAATGAGGGGAACTTAATAGGCTATATAATGTTTTTGATATATTTACCAGTATTTAATATTCATATAAACTAATGTAATTGTTTGCAGTTATGAGGTTAACGGGGGGTTTTGGAGTAAGATCAATTTCTCTTTCATTAAATTACTTCCTCTTTTTTTGGGTTACGTTTCTCCGTGTCGTAAACTAAAGGGCGAGGCTTCTAATCCGGGTTGTTTATAGGGGAGTGATATTCAAATGATGATTGTTTTCAGCTGCCACATTTATCAATGTACGATCATTCGCATGACGGGATTGGCAGCATACCAATGTTTCATGAATTGTACATGGACTCTGTCTAAAGTTGATTTGTGCGCTTGGACCAGTGCACGTTTCTACGTTAGATCGATAAATGAGGCCCATTCAGTAAAATCCTACTGTCATTATTTTCTCCTGTAAATTCTTTATCATTATATTATATCAATATATATCTATATTTCTTTGGGTTATTTATAATTTACTTGCATTTGACGCAGGTGTTCATTTCATGGCCTGGTTTTTAAACTCGAACACGCATCTCATTGCTGGAGTTTCTTTAAGCTCTTTCATTAATGCAAATCTCAGTGCTTTAGACCACTTCAGTCTCTGAACTATATTGTAGCATGTTTATCACTTTGCCATCATGTTTAGCATATTGCTAGTATGTTAAAAACATACATGTTGTTTTATCTCATTATTTCTTGTTTGTCAATCATTGAAAGCCAAAATCAAAAGTAAAAATATAATATGATTTTGTTTGTTTACTGATTGAATGTGACTTTGTGTGTGTTTTATAGTGTGGATAATAAAGGAGAATCCTGGATTACAGCAGGACTACACAAATGTACGTCTATAACACACACACACAACCCTTCAGTGACTGGTTGTGTTATAAACGTCTCTCTTCTTGTGTTCAGATGCCTGTTTTCTCACACTGGATCCAAACACAGCAAACAATGAACTCATTCTGTCTGAGGAGAACAGAAAGGTGACATATGTGGAAAAAGATCAGTCATATCCTGATAATCCTGAGAGATTTGATGTGTATCAGATTCTGTGTAGAGAGAGTCTGTCTGGACGCTGTTACTGGGAGGCTGAATGGAGTGGAGTTGAGGCTGTTATATCAGTGACATATAAAGGAATCGTCAGGAAGGGAAGGAGTCGTGACTGTATGTTTGGACGCAATAACATCTCCTGGAGCCTGTTGTGCACTGAAGCCAAGTTCACTGCCCGTCATAATAACAATTCAACGGACATCTCTACTCTTTCACGCTCCTCTAATAGAGTAGGAGTGTATGTGAATGTGTCGGCCGGCACTCTGTCCTTCTACAGTGTCTCTGACACACACAAACTCACACACATACACACATTCAACAACACATTCACTGAACCTCTCTATGGTGGATTTGGGGTTTATTATGTGAACTCCTCAGTGTCTCTGTGTGACATAAACAGCCTCTATTAAGAGCCTGTTATTCGAAGCATGAGAGATACACACATAACCTGATTAACTATCACATAAATACAACTCTAAAATATTTGTTTCTTTTATGGTTGGTGTCTCTCTGACACACACACACAGAAGGTGTAAGTTGTAATGGAATTCTCTAATACTGTTAATACGTTAATACATTTTATGTGAGCAAATTAGAATAGAAAAGGTGCTGGTGTGTGACAGGAGGGCCTTCATCCAAGGATTAATATGATGAGTAAGTCTACGAATTAAGTCTAAGAATGTGGTTACATGACCACCACCATTGAAATACCATCTTTGGCCTAGAGGTAACTTTCTGAGAGATAACATTCTGACGGGTGCGCTATAAAAGAAGAAGGATGCCCTCCCTTCACTGTCACACTCTGCAGCCACTCTGAGTGGCTGTATGACTGCTGGCCTTTTCTTGCAAGAAAATAAACAATTTTTAAAGACAATTGGACATGTTTGTCTCTTATTCAGTGATATAATTTTTATTTGCCACAACAATTTGGTGTCAGAAGTGGGATTCCATGAATGTGCCTCTTGGACCCGAGAGTGGACGGTGACTGATCACCCTGGACTGAGTAGTTCCAGCCCTACCTCGCAAACTTGAGAGAGAGGGGCCGACCGCCAGGGTCCAGGAAAACACAACTGGAATCATCAAAAGAACTCTAGTGGCATCTTTCATCAATTTCTCTGGTAAGAGACAAATATGTATTGATATTAAAGAAAAAAAGAGAGTGAACTATGCGGGCTGACTGAAATCTGTGGCAAAGAGTAGTGAGTTTGGGAAACTCAAGGTTGGGGACCAACTACTCGAGGTCAAGGACCAAAAATGAACTGGGTGTGGACTGGAGGGTCAGTCCTAGAGCTCTTCCTGAACAATTTTAGGTGAAAAATCGGATCTATTGGAGATGTTTAGCCCGGCTCCCAGATAACAAATATGTACCTGTGTATAATATTTTGCTTGCTAATACTGAAGGGACTTTCCCCACAAAAACAGCCTTGGCATTAATTTCTACTGGTCAAGAAGAGTGAGTATTTATGTGAAACTCTGACGAAGAGCATAAGTGTAATATATAATGCTTGATTGGTTCTGTTTCTATTCTGTTTTTTTTATCAATATATGATAGGGGAGGGTGGGAGTGTAATGGAATTCTTTAATATTGTTAATACTTTAATACATTGTACGTAAGCATATTTGAATAGGACATGTGCTGGTGTGAGACAGGAGGGCCTTCATCCAAGGATTAATTTGATGAGTAAGTCTAAGAATGTGGTTACATGATCACCATTGAAATACCATATTTGGCCTAGAGGTAACATTCTGAGAGATAACATTCTGACGGATGCGCTATAAAAGAGGAAGGATGCCCTCCCTTCACTGTCACACTCTCCAGCCACTCTGAGTGGCTGTATGACTGCTGGCCTTTTCTTGCAAGAAAATAAACCATCTTTAAAGAAAATTGGACATGTTTGTCTCTTATTCAGTGATATCAATTTTATTTGCCACAACAAAGTTCTTCTTAACAGCCATTAAAGTGCACCTATTATGCCATTTTGAATATTGCCTTTCATGCAGTGTGTAATGTAGCTATATGTAAATGGAAACCATCTGCAAAGTTGGAAAGCTGAAAGTGCACGATATATAAAGTTGTTGTCTCCCAAAAGAAAGAATTGACTCTGAACAACCTAAATGAGTTGTCAGTCATTCAAATCCCACTTCTGTTACGGCTACATGTCACAGGGTAATGTATTTGCATAATGTGCAAACAACTTGGATTAGGGTTAGGGTTAGCTTGTTCGTGTGGTTAACATCACATGTAGAAGACATTGTGTCCTATGCTGTGAAAGTAAATTCATTTTATTTTCACTTCAGAAAGATGAGGCTGCAAAAAATCTGTGGTTAAAATTCTTTTTTTTTTTTAGTTCATTCATATTAGGAACCTTAAAAATGGCATAATAGGGGCAATTTAAACTGTATTTGCATTATATATATATATATATCCTAACAAACCATACATAATTAAAAAAAAGCTTATTTATTCAGCTTTCAAATTATGCATAAATCTCAATTTCAAAAAATTGACCCTTATGACTGGTTTTGTGGTCCAGGGTCACATTTGTTATTACAGACAAACAGCTTGTCTCTCAGTCACTAGCTAGTTTTCATCAAAGGCAAAAGTCCTTGTGCATCAGTGCTGATAGCTTTGTGGGCAGCACATTGACATATGGCGTAGTTGCACTTCGGGTGTCCCGAGTTTGAATCACGCCTCGTGGACCTTTCCCGATCCCACCCCCCTCCTCTGACCAACTCGCTTCATGTCATATCTCCACTGTCCTATCATGGAAAATAAATACAAAAACGCCAAAAAAAGTCCTTGCGGCGTGAGTCGAGACAGATTTTGATTTTAGCTTTCCTTAGTTGGTTGTTTGTACGTCACTGATTGGAATAATTCTCAACAGCAATGGGCAGACTAACCTTGTTAAAAATTCAAACATGATGTCATGCATTGGTGCAAATGAAGTCTTAAGTGCTAATTTTTACCCATTGCTCACTAATCTTTCCCTGTGCTATGGGTTCTCCTACACCAAACCTTCTGAGCTCAATATTCAGCCACTTCTGACCTGTCAGTCTTGCATTAATATAGTTGATTCTGATCAGTGGGTTCAGATTGAGCCGTCGACCCATACACATGAAGGCATGTCGAAGTTTAGGGTCAGCACTGTCCCAGGCTGCTACGAGTGTATCAGGACCAGAATGCGATGGGTCTGTGACTGTGAGGTCACCTTTCAGTATCATGTCGTAGACGGTCGGTTCCTCAACACAGAGCTGGAGCGTCTGCAGTGTAACCGAATCGGTCCAGTGATTGACGTGACGGTGATCTCAGGGAAACTGGAAGAAGTTCATCTGCCCCATTATGTCTGTTTAGGACATTCTGACCCCTCTCTCAAGGATGCTGTGAAAGTCCTCAGTGTAAAAGATGAGGGAATATATGTAGAGCCTGTGCAGCTGACCCGATTTCATGCTAAAATTGTCCAACCATCATTCTCTCTTAAAACTTTAATTATAAGTTGGATAATGCAGTGGGATGAACACTGCGATCTTCTTCTGTACATGTGTTCTAAAGATCCTCTCATTTTACATGTCTACTTCTTTTCCATTTGATGATCATTTTAAAGAAGTTGTGGAGAAAGAAGAAAAATCAAGCCTTCCAATCATGCATTTTGGTGCTTCTGTCCATTCCAAAGAAGGGATCACATTTAGATGAGAAATTTCTTCAATGTCAAGATGTATCTGGAGAATGATCTTAAGATGGCTCTTGTCACAGATGAGGATCAAAACATTGTCTGGACTGCAACAGTTGAGAAAGATGAACTTGGTCAGATAAATCCAAAGAAAGATGAGCTGCGTCTGCTTCTGAATAGTGATGAGGATAAAGCAGCATTTTTTTGATAACCATTCAGAGGTTTACAAATGTTAAGATCGTTGCAGATCAACTGCTTCAGCAGCAAATAATTCAGAAGGAACAATATTCACAAACCACACATGATACTTTAACCAGTGTGGACAGCATGAGAAAGATCTGTGACATTATATTTAAGCATAGTGTCATGCGACAGCTAAATTAATCTTAATTGTTCAAGATACTTAATGACCTCAGAACATCCGTCTGATTCTTGTGAAGGAAATATTTACAAATTAATAATTTTAATCAATAAAGCATAACTAACATTTCCCTTTCTTGCAGGCTTGACATTTGCATGCTTTTAGAGAACAAAATGTTCCCTAGTTAGTGTGTTGTAATGATGATGCATATGGACAGGACGAGATGGCTTTTTGTTAAAAACCATAGGAACTCATGGCTTAGGGAACAAGACATCAGGGTCAGATGTGCCTCATATTTGTTGTATGATATTGTCCTTCAGAAAAGCATTTTTTTTATGTCAAATGTGGCTAGTGAACTAAAAATATATAAAACCACGCAAGTACTACACTGAAAAAAAATAACTTGTAAGATTTACTTAACATTAAATTACTTAATAACATTCACAGTATAGTAAAGTCTTTTTTTTTTTAAGTGCATTAAGTGAAATTTCACTGGGACTGGAACAACTGCATGTTACCAGGGACTGGAACCCTTGTTTTAAACTAAATTTCATAAAAAATAAAATAAATAAAAAAAACAAAAATATATATGCATTTAACGCACTGTACACCGCATTTGTTTGGACAACATAAAACATAAAATATAGCAAACAATACTTACAAACAACAAGATGTTTTAACTTGTCAGTATTGACAAAACTGCAAACACAATTATGGAATGGTCCTTCTTAGAACATAGTATTTAAACCTAACAGCCCTCTGAAACAGTGAAGTTGCAACATTCAAACCAGCACTCTGAACTAGTGCATTTAAAAGTATGCCATTAAAACCTTAATGCATTAAAACATTTTAATGCATAAATGTTACTGCTACAGCATTAAAGATGATAACTTCATCTTTAAAGTTTGAACTTTTGGGGACAGCTTAATCCCATCAAGTTCTAAAAGAACGTTCTGAAACACCTCGAATGCGTAGCGCAGTGCTCGAGGGTATGCAAGGTTAAGGGCATAGATCAGTCCCATAAGCAGCGTGCATGCCTTGGCGGTATTGCCGCATCCTTGCAACATTTCCTTCCCTTCTAGAAGAATGGATACATCTACTGGTTCTTCCCCTTCAGCACCATGGACAATGAGGAGTTTTAGTATGTGCAGACTGGCATCACTCCAGCTATCTTCCTGCATACAACATACCAGGGGGACAAAAAAAAGATAATTATTTTGAGAAACAGAGAATTGCTTTGTTCAGCTGTGATAATGAAGTCACTTCAGAAGATTAAACACATTCCTACTAAAAATTACCATCATTTAATATAGTTCAAATTATGTTAAACATGAGTTAAATTAATTTAACAGTAATATGTTGCATCAGAAATACATTTGTA